GGGAGTTGAAGTCCGCCAGTCTTAAAGCTGCCCAGTTTGAAAGACCCCTGGACTGGAGGATTGCTCCAAGCCGGAGGGGTTCTGATAGTAAATGTCCTACTTGCTGGGGAGGGTGGATTTGTAATTGCACCAGCGCCTGCGGAGGCCGCACTGCCATTTATTAAACAAAAAACAAAAAAAACACGCCCCACCGAGAAACCATTATGACTGTGTGTGTTGCTCTCCCCCTCTGCCAAAGGAGCTCAGAATTGCTTCCAAAGGTTGGGAGGAGTGGGGGGGGGAGGTCTAGAAATTGGGAAGGGACACTGATACCCCCCTCTCTCACACACACACACACCCCTCCAGTAGGCAAAGAAGAGGCATAGAGGAGTTGGGAGGGTCCTCGGATGCCACCTTGGCATAGAGACTCAGTGGTGGGATTCAGTTTTTTTTATGGTGGGCATGGCAGGGGAAGGATACTGTAATTCAAGGGTCTCCAAACTTGGCAACTTTAAGACTTGTGGACTTCAATTCCCAGAATTCTCTGGCTAGAGAATTCTGGGAGTTGAAGTCCACAAGCCAAGTTTGGAGACCCCTGCTGTAAATTCTCCATTTCCTCTTCACTTCAGGGGAAGGATACTGCAAAATCCCATTCCCTCCTCATCCTACTAACCTGCTTTCCAGCTCCGTTCTCATGTGCAGGGCAACCAAAGAAGACCCAGCTAATCAGCTGGGACTCAATGGGAGGCAGAGAATAGATGGGGTTGGCGGGGCCAGTCAGAGGGGGGATTTGCCAGTTCTCCGAACAACTTAAAATTTCCACTACCGGTTCTCCAGAACTGGTCAGAACCTGCTGAATCCCACCTCTGCACAGGATCCGCTCAAGTAAATCCGGACTTTTTCTGGCCAGGCTTAAAGGTTCAGCCTGAGGACCTTGTGCATGCAAAGCAAGGGTTTCGTTGCAGAGCTTCTCCATTTCTGAGGTCGGGAGTCACATCTATTGGCCTTGATTTGAGTTTGATTATTGACCTGTGTGAATGGGATTAGGGCAATTGAAAGGATGGATTAAGTAAGTGCTGCAAATCCTTTTTCATTCAACTTTGTGGGGTGTGCCAGTCTGCAAAATTTAAACCCTGCAGCCCTGGACTCCTCCTTCAAGAATGTTTGGTTTTGTATCATTTGCTCCTCTTGATTTTAGGTATAAATAACTAAATTACAGGTAACCCTTGAGAGACAACCATAATGGAACCTGCCCTCTATAGTTATAAGTCGTAACAGTTGTAAAATGTGGCCAATATGATTTTACAACCTTTTAAAGCAATCATTAAACAGACAAAGGCATAAAGCCTCAAGGTAGGTTTGTTGTAACTTTGAAGGTTACTAAATAACCTGTCATAAGTTGAAGACTGCCTGTAATAGGACTTGATGCTAAACAAGGTACAATTTACTTAATGCCTTAAACATCAATATATTTGTATTGAAAGGGAAGAATGATTATTCATCTATTAGCTACTGTCTTTCTTACCAAGGAATACAGTTGTAAAGGATGAATAACTCCCATGAGTACTTCATTAAACAATTTGTTGATATTTGTTTATACCATCTTCTTGCAGGTAATGTTGCAGCTTTGATTTTGGTAGCCATTCTTTGGGGAACAACCAATCCATTTCTGAAAAGAGGAACTGAGGGTCTGGAGCAGGTAAAGAGAGAAAGCAGACTGCAGCAGATGCTGGCTGAAATAAAGTTCCTTTGCCTGAATTACAAGGTATTTGCCATTTTATACAGCACTCTTCACACTACTTTTTTTTAACCTTAACTACTTTAAGATGTGTGGCTTTCAATTTCCAGAATTCCCCAGCCAGTTGAAGTCCACATGTCTTAAAGTTGCCATGTTTGGGAAACCATCTTCTATAAGTGCAAAGCATTCCGTCATGGAATTCAAAACAGTCCTATGTTGAGTGTTCCACTGTTTTGAGATCAGGCTACTCAGAGAGCCCAGTTCTTCTCAATCTAGGCACCTGAAACTCCTTTGCAACAGGAATCTGAATTACCTGTGCCTGGGGCCCACAGCATAGCACCTTTACCCCTGCAGACATTTCCTGTCATTAGACTACACCTCTTGCCTTTTTTAAAAAAAAAAAAAAACACCAGTCTTTTAATTAAAACATGGGATTGGAAGCTGACTTCTCTTTTAAAAAGGAAGATAAACTAGAAACAGGAACCAACTTTCTGGGGCACTGGCAGCGAGTAAAGGGATGATTTATGAAAGGCTATGCCCTTCATGATAGACATTATCTCTTCATCCCGATGAAACAGAGTCAAAATGTTCCTATTGACCCAAGAAGTAAGTGATCCCTGGCCAGGTTTGGGGGAAGGAAATACTATAGAAGGTACCTAGACTGCACCAGCCTGTTCATATCACAAGATATATATTTTTTCTAAATCTTACATGATACTGTAATAAGATACTTATACAGTATTAAATTTAATTCTTTTTTTTTACTTGATGCTATCACAATAATCAGGCTTTGATTCTTTGATTACAGCATTTAGTTGCTTTCCCAATGGAGAAGTAATTCAGTGTCTAAATTTAATTTAATTTAAAATTAATTTTATTTAATTCAGAATATTTGAAAAATAATGTCCATTTTCCTCTCAGATAGAAGACTGTTCAGAAAGCCACTAGTCAGCAGTGATCTTTTAAAAGTGTTTTGACCCAGGAGCATGTTTGAAAAAAAGTATATGATGCATTATAATAACTGGAACACCTGGGATTGGGTTGTCCCTGGTTATCAGAAATTGGTTTAAATTAAGTACCCGTAACCCTGAAGCTCTCCCCCAACTATTTTTTTTCCCTTGCAGTACATGTTACCATTTATACTAAACCAGTGTGGCTCATTCATCTACTATATCGCATTAGCATCCACAGGTTGGTCCTTAATTAATTATTGCCAGTGTCAAGATTCGGGGAGGTGGTGATTTAAAGTGGGAACTCTGATTATTGTGGGGAATTACTCAGATACCTACTGCAGAAAGACATAATTTTTAAAAATTTCTGTGATTGTGTCACCAAAATGGGAGTCACTCAGTTCTTAATAGATTTCAGAGCAGGATTACCTTCATTAAAAAGAAACAGAGAATTCTGATGCCCATTCAAAAGTAGCAGGGTTTTAATCACATGATCAGATACTATCTAGATTTCTTTGAGCTCCAGTGTGGTCACCTTTGGTGTCCTCAAGATATGTTGATTGCAGTTCTTGAATACCGATCCAATATGGTTGGTAGAGACCGGTAAAAGAATAGGTAGATAAGTGAAGCTTGCTGGACAGTTGCTACAGAATCAAATATTGGAAGTACCATATTTTTCGGTGTATAAGACACACTCCCCCGCCCCCCCAAAAAAGTGTGTGGAAGTGTCTGTGTCTTATATAGCGAATGTTGCCAAAGCCCCACCCATCTGCCGGACCACACCTTTCGGCCTCTGCCTCCCAGCAATTTGCCCCATTCCGATCCCCACCGCCTAGAGCGGGTCGAAAATGGGGTGTGTGGAGGCCGAAAATGGGGCGCGCGGAGGCAGCAATAGGCGATGGCGATCCTTGCAGCCTGAAACAGCTGATCGTTGGGAGGACGATCCAACCAACAATCAGCTGCTTATGCTAATCAGGCTGTGCTGAAGCTGAGCAAGCTGTTTGCTGCAAGGAGTCAAATTGCTGGGAGGCAGAGGCAGATTTTTCTTCCTGTTTTCCTCCCCAAAAGCTAGGTGCTTCTTATACTTCGGAGCATCTTTATAGTCCTAAAAACATGGTAACTGCCATCTTGCCAATATTGTCCTATGTGGAAATCCCTGAATGTGGAGATCCAGCTAATATGCTTTTAGGAAGGATTTCCTACCAGAATTGTTCCCTAGCCATTCCCCAGCCAAACACAAACTTCAGATGAAGTTTCCCTTTGATTAGGGTTATCTCCTCAATGGTTTTTATTTGTTTTGATCAGATGATTCTGCATTAAATGTTCCACTTTCCATTTCAGACCTAACCTTGGCTGTGCCTCTTTGCAATTCCTTGGCCCTGGTCTTCACAATCGCAACAGGGAAAGTTCTTGGGGAAAACATAGGTGGCACAAGTAGGTGTCTAATGGCTTGATCAGATGCAAATTCTGTCCTCCTTGTTGCTTTATATTTAATCAAAATAAGCAAGGTTGAATTCAGTGGTGGGATTCAAATAATTGAACAACAGCCCTAATGACTGGCTGGGTAGGCATGGCTGGGTAGTCATGTGACTGGGTAGTCACGTGACTGGGTAGGCATGGCCAACTTGTCACTCACATCAAATGGCCCCTCCCCTGACCTCTCCTTGCCCCTCCCCTCCCAGCCACTCCTCGTCTCGTCTTGCATGTTATGGTGAGAGGAAGCTTTTTCAAAGTCATCTTCCTCTTGATACTAGACAATAAGATGAGATTTTGCTATCAGAAGACCTGATGTCCATTTCCAAGTATTGTTTATCACAGGGGTCACCAACCTTTTGGACCTCAAGGACCACCAAACTCATAATTTTAAATCCCAGGGACCACTAACCGGTTCTGTGGGTGTGGCCTAATTTGTGGGTGTGGCTTGGTGGTCATTTACATATTAGAAATATTTATATAAATATTGAATTTTTTATTAAAAAAAGAGCAACTTTTACCCAAAATCAGGCAAATCAGGCAGGCAAATTGAGTTGATCACAGAATCACAGATTCATTCAGAGATCTATCTGCCATCGGCTAGCTCAGTCTGTCACATAAAATTTGGTTACAAGCAAACTCATAAAATTTGCTAACAAGCAAACTCACAAAATTAACTCACAACACACCATGTATGTAAATACTGAATTTTTTATTTAAAAAAGAGCAACTTTTACCCAAAATCAGGCAAAGCAGGCAGGCAGATTGAGTTGCTCACAGAATCATTCAGTGATCTATCTATTTGCCATCAGCTACCTGAGGCTGTCACATAAAATTTGCTTGCCATGAGTCTGCACTGAACATTCAGTCCTAACAGAGGTTCGGCTGTGTTTAAAAGCAGAGCCAAAGATCTAAAGACTAGCTAGAAAGCAAGAAATCCAACCATTTCCTGCTTTCTAGCTAATCTAAATCTCCCGGCACAGCAGAACAGCTGATGGTTGGAAAAATAGCAATTTATCAGGCAAATTTGCCAGGTAAGGAGTGAGTGGGTAGGGAGGGTTCCCGTGGGCCAAGTGGGTGGAGTAGCCTTGTGTTTCTGCACAGCCTGGATGAATTGCTTAGAGGGGTGCTCTGGGGGTGAGATTTCTCTACGGCCCACCAAAATTGGCGCACCAGTTGATGACTGCTGGTTTATCACTATTCTCTTGGTAAGACTGAATGGAGAAATTTATAAAGAATAACAGAGTTGGAAGGGATCTTGGAGGTTTTCTAGTCCAACCCCTGTTCAAGCATGAGACCCTATACCTGTGATGGTGAACCTATGGCACACGTGCCAAAAGTGGCACGCAGAGCCATTACTGCCGGCACGCAAGCCCTTGCCCAGAGAAGGTCTACTGCACATGCACACGCAGCCCACCCGCCAGCTGACTGTTGGGTATCTGGTGCACATGCGCGGGGGCGAGGGGGTGCGGGAGACATGCACGCATGCGCAGATGCGTGACACACATGGGGTTGCTCACACATGCGCAGAGACATGCAGCGCACGGGGGATCGCACTCTTATGCACAGCGGGCGTGGGGAGAACCTGAGCACATTGCCTTCTGGGTGCTGGCACGTAATTATCGGCACAGGAGCCCAAAAAGGTTAGCCACTGTTGCCCTATACTAATATGGACAAATTTCTTCTTAAAAATTTCTTCTCCAGCGATGGTCTACCCACAACTTCTGAAGGCATCCCATTCCTCTGATTAATTGTTCTCACTGTCAGGAAATTTCTTCTTATTTCTAGGTTGGATCTCTGTTTGATAAGTTCCCATCTTTTATTTTTTGTGAACGCCTAGGTGTTTCGGAGACTAGGTTGCCATCCTCTTCTTTGTGATGGCCCCTCAAATATTGGAAGATTGCTATCATGTCACTCTTAGCCAGGGGTGGGATTCAAATTTTTTAACAACCGGTTCTGTGGGCATGGCTTAGTTGGTGGCTTAAGTGGTGGTCATGTGACTGGCTGGGCATGGCCAACTCAACATCACTCACATGAAGGCACGCATCTCCTCCCCTGGCCTCTCATGACTGTGGAGATGCTGCAACAGTCGTAAGTGTGAAATATGGTCATGTCACTTTTTTCAGTGCCATTCTAACTTTGAATGGTTCCTCCACACAAGCAAAGTACCAGCAAAGGAGGGGAAAAAAACCTCCAGAGAAGTTCCTGAGACAGGAAGTCTAGTCCTGCCAAGAATGTAATAAGAGGCAATGGAGAGGCAGTTTCTGTAAGCAACACCAGAATGTTTCCTTCCTGCCTTCCTTACAGGATTAGGCCAATAATTTCTTCTAACAACCGGTTCTCCGAACTGCTTAGAATGTTAACAACCAGTTCTAGCGAATGGGTGCGAACTGGTAGCATCCCATCCCTGCTCTTAGCCTTTCTCTTTGTTAGACCAGACATATCTAGTTCCTACAACTATTCATCATACTTTAGCCTCCAGCCTTCTAATCATCTTTGTTGCTCTTCTCTATATTTTTTCTAAAATCTTGATATCTGTTTGCCAAAATTGGATACAAGATGCCAAGTGTGATCTTATAAAGCAGTCTATAAGCTATGAAGTACTAATACTTCATGCGATCTTGATAGCAGATACCAGGCTTAATAGCAGTAACTGTGAGAAATGAAAAAAGCTATAAAATAAGCCCGAGGGAGGTATTTGAGGAAAAACAAATGGAGAATATATAAAGTAGCGATAAAATATGAAACTGAATATGAAAGATGAATATGAAATTGAGATTATATCTGTATGGAGAAGTGAAAACCTGGAACCATGCTGTTCACTAAAAAAAGATGTTCTATTTTACCTTTTTTTGTTTGTTTTGTGAAAAATCAAAATTGTGTAAAAAAAAATAGCAGTAACTGTGAGAGGGATCTTGGAGTCTTAGCGAACAACCAATTAAATATGAGCCAACAGTGTACAGAGAAGCCAAAAAAAGCCAATGCAATCCTAAGTTGCATTAATAGAGGTATACAGTCAAGATCAATATGAGGTACTAAGACCACTCTATAAAGCGACAACTTGAGTACTTCATCCAGTTTTGGACACCACACTATAAAAAGATGTTGAGACTCTAGAAACAGTGCAGAGAGGAGCAACCAGAATTATTAGGGGACTGGAAACTAAAACATACGATAAACAGTTACGGGAATTGGGCGTGGCTAGTCTGGTGAAGAGAAAGATCAAGGGAGACACAATAGCAGTGTCTGAAGGCCAGACAAGGAATAATGGATGGAAACTGAACAGGGAGAGATTCAACCTGGAAATAAGGAGAAATTTTCTGACAGTGAGAGCGATCAACCCATGGAATAAAAGTTGCCTTCGGAAGTTGTGGGAGCTTCATCCCTGGAGGCTTTCAAGAAGAGACTGGGCTGCCATTTGTCAGAAATGGTGTAGGGTCTCCCGCTTGGGCAGGGGGTTGGACTAGATGACCTAAAGGTCCCTTCCAACTCTGTTAATCTGTAGATACTGATATTATTCCTCTGTTGATGCAGTCAAGGACTGCATTGACTTTTTTGGCAGTTGCAGCACACCTATGACTCCTACTTAAGGGGTTGCCCACTAGGATTCCCAGATCTGTCAGTGAGTCTGGGCAGGGGGCAGGATGCGAACTGGGGGGGGGGGGGGGGCGAGCAGCAGCGGCTTAGCCCTGCCTCGCCTTCCTCTCTGCCACCAGCAACAGGAGGGGAAGGGCAAGCAGGGATCGGGGGTCGTGGCCACCTGGGAAAGTCAGACCCCTGCCCAACCCAGAGCAGGGCCCAAAAGGCAGCTGAGCCTTGCCATGTCCACCCCCCCAGCAGCCTTTTAGCTGAGCACGATGGGCCCAGAACAGGTCTCCCTACTCCGCTGTCGGACTTACCTTCTCAGACCAGGATAGGAATGGCTCAGAGATGGTATTCAGCAGGTTCTGACCAGTTCTGGAGAACCAGTAGCGGAAATTTTGAGTGGTTCAGAGAACTGGCAAATCCCACCTCTGACTGGCCCCACCAACCCCATCTATTCTCTGCCTCCATTGACTCCCAGCTAATTGGCTGGGTCTTCTTTTGTTGCCCTACACAGGAGAACGGAGCTGGAAAGCAGGTTAGTGGGGTGGGGAGGGAAGGGGGATTTTGCAGTAACCTTCCCCTGCCACACCCACCAAGCCATGCCACGCCCACCAAGCACACCCACAGAACCGGTAGTAAAAAAATTTGAATCCCACCATTGGAATGACTGGGAGGGGAGGAACGGGGCCAGCCAGTAGTGGGAATCCGATGGTTCGCTGAACTGCAGAAAATTTTAGCTCCCAGTTCAGGCCAACAAACCAGCTGAATCCCACCACTGGTTGAATTGAATAGACCAGTGGCCCCCAACCTTTTTTGTGCCGCGGCCCGGTACCGGCATCACAAAATGATCCGCGGCCCGGTACCGGCATCAGCACGCATGACAAGGCAAGGCGAGCCGAGCGACCGGCCAGCCAGCCGTCCCCCGCTTCTCCCCGCCACCTTCAACTCCTCCTTTGTACCTTTGTCGATGGGCTTCGCTTCGGGACGGCTTCGGGTCGGTCGCTCGGCTCGCCTTGCCTTGGGTGCTGAAAGCATCCTCGCACCTTAGTTTCGTTCGAAGCCCCCCCCCCCCCCTTCGATGAAACTAAGGCGTGAGGATTCCTTCAGGACCAAAACGCCGCTTTCCAACCGGAAAAGCTCACCCGGAAGCACTTTCTCTTCAAACAAGATGGCGGCGCCCAGCAAACCGGCGGCCCGGTAGGAAATGTTCCACGGACCGGTACCGATCCGCGGCCCGGTGGTTGGGGACCCCTGGAATAGACCATGTTCCTATAAAATTTGCAGCTTTGGTTGATTCCTGCTTTTTCTCTTCCGTAGGGGCCGTTCTGGGGATGCTCTTGACAATCTTGGGCATTGCCATCTGCATAGTTGCATCTGCGCGCAAACATCCATGAGGTCTCCAAGTAAGAGAAAGGGAAATTCTGTGGAAAACCATTCTCATCTGTACAACTGCTTATACCACTCTCAAGAGTTGCAGCACGGGGTAAACAACCCCTGGCTCCACGTTAGAGAGAGCATGGATTTTCCTAGCCTGGCAATCGCTCCTTTGTGCACTTGGATTCTAGAGACCTGTGTCCCTAGATCTTGTCTTGGTGTTCCTATTAACCAGAAACTTTTGAGGACCCTGAGATTGCTTTAATGGAAGCAGCAAGATCAGGAGCCTTTGAGTCA